ATTATACCTTCTGGTTGGCTATTACTTAACTCCAGGGGCTTCCAGAGGGAAGGGTCCTATTTCTACCAGTGGGAAGGCATTGTACAACTATTTTGTCTGGTCAGAGTCCTGCTTAGTGTACTATGCCAGCATGGCTGGTGGCAGGAGAAGACAAAAGGCTTGTGGGCACAGTGGCATTGGAGATCAGGACTGAGATTCGCCCATGCAGTTCCATGTTCTCTTCCCTGGCTCTGGCAGCTTTCAGACCTTGGGAGGGATACCTGCTACTGCTTCTGCAGGGAATGCAATTCAGATGGTGAAGAAGCACAGGATCTCAAACCTGGGAGGGAAGAAATGAAGGTGTACTCACATATGGAGTACATTCGCCCATTGCTTCCCCTTACAAGCAGCTGTAGCATCAGCATCTGAATTGCTCACCTCTCTTCTCTTCATTGGAAAACCGTAGCAGCGCCTCATGGGTTTGACAGCTCTGGGCAGAGGAGGTTTTGGATGGAATGCAGTTAGAGAATACAGTGGTACTTCTACTTACGAAATTAATTCGTTCCGACAGCCATTTCGTAAGTAGAAAATTTCGTAAGTAGAAGCAAATTTAACATTGAAATGCCCTAATCCATTCCAAGCCCATAGAATAGCCTCCTTCCAGCCCCTTCCAGCCACAGCCTCGGCTATTCTATGGGCTGATCCTGGAAGTGGAGGATTCCTCCACTTCCAGGACCAGCCTAAGGAACAGCCGAGGCCGCGGCTGGAAGGGCTCGGTTGGAATTTCGCAAGTTGGAACGCTTTCGTAAGTCGAAGCAAATTTTTTCAGGAGGCGCGTTTCGTAAGTCGAATTTTTCGTTAGAAGAAGCATTCGTAAGTAGAGGTACCACTGTATCTCCTTGCACCCTGTTCAAGACATATGTGTGTGTGTATATTTCTAACAGGATGCTGCCTGTAGGTTGCTTGAAGCTGGTAGATTGTGGTTGCATCTGCACTGCAGATATAATGCAGTCTGACACCGCTTTAGCTGCCATGGCTCATTGCTACAGCATTCTGGGATTTGTAGTTTGTTGTGTCACCAGAGCTCTCTGACAGAGGAGACTAAATATTTCACAAAACAAGAGAGCCCAGAATTCCATAGCACTGAGCCAAGGCTGTTAAGGCGGTGTCAGAATTACAGCTTTTTTCTCCTTAATGGATTTTCTATAGTAAAAGAAAGCAACTGGAAAAATTGTGTAAATGAGGCAAGGTAATCTCATAATAAAATCTCCTTCCAGAAGTAACCTTTGTGAGCTTGAAACTGCTGAACTATGAGGTAAGAAGCTAGGGACAGGTCCTTCAAATACTTACACTCAGTGCAGACATAATATTTTCCTCCAGTCTCCTCTGCTTGTGGGATATGGGAAACATTACTTCACCCGTGGCTTTATTAGCACTTTTTAAAGTGTTCTTGGTATGCAGTGCAATCCTAAACATACTACTAAGAAGTAGTATTTGAATGAATTCAGAGGGATTTACATTCAGATAAATCTGTATAGGATTGCAGTCTTAATAAAGTTTGCATTTGTGGAAGTATTTCCAGGATCAGATTCTACATGGTGACACATTTTCTGTTTGAAGCTCATAGATGTTATTTTTAAAGTATTTTTTGGTGTGTAAAAGAACTCTTTCAGTCTCTTTTAACAATATTTTTAGATTTCATTCATTTAACGGATGTGTGCAGAACCAAAATAATTTTAAAGCATAATGCCTAAATTGACATACGTTGATATCTGATGCATGTGTTTGTGAGACACTAGTTAGGTTGGTCTTCTGAAAGTTTTAAACTGTGTAACTTGAGTACTTTTCTTATAGTTACAGAAATAACACATGATAGGTATTGATCTATTTATGTGAGTTGGCTATATTGGAGATACCTTCATCAAAGTAATGTAGAAATATAAGATTTTGTGTGACAAGTTAGTGACTGGCAAAATGAGATCTTCTATGGACAACTAGTAAATACTTCAGTGTACTTAGAATTTGGACACACACCTGTTCCAATACACTGGTGGTTCTCAACTTTTGGTCTTCAACCAAGGTGTTTTGGACTTCAGTCCCCCTCAAACCCCCAGAAGCCTCAGCTAGCATGGCCAATGATCAGGCATTCTGGGAACTAAAGTCCAAAGCATCTGGAGGACCAAAGGTTGAGAAGCACTAGAATACAGTTTGAATTAAAATCTACTGTGTCTGCTCACCGACAAAGTGTGTTCTGATTTACTAGGGTACTAGGGTAGCTACCTTTATTTATTAGAGTACTAGGGTAGCTACCTTTATAAGCAGTGATTTGGTTCATAATGCAATAAGGGAAGAGCTGTAGTTTCTCTTTGCATGCAAGATGTCCCAAGCATCTCCAGATAGAGGGTTGGAAGGGCTGTTGTCTGAAATATAGAAGAGCTGCTACCAGTTTGGGTAGACAATACTGCGTGAGGTGCACCAACAGTCTGTCTTTTTGTCCTCCTTTTGTCCAGGGTTGAGGATCATGCAGCTGTCCAGATGTCAGACTGCAACTCCCAGCATTCTTTACCATGTGCTGTGCTGATTTGAGCTGATGGGAATTGCAGTCCAATAACATTTGGAAGTGTGCATGATTCATAGCTCTCTCCTAAACAAAGAGAGGAGTCAATAGCAGAGGGCTGATTTTCCCTGTTGATTCTGCCTCTTTCAATTCTAATAATAATAATAACAATAAAATTTATTTTTATCCTGCCCCTCTGCAACGCAATCCGGGCGGCTTACAGCATTTAAAAGCATCCATAGTACAACAATACCCTAACCCACCCTCCCCTTAAAAACGTATTAAATTAACTTTTTTTTTTTAGACTCGCAAGAGGGGCAAACATTGTTAATATAGGCTGCATGCCATATCCTTTTGGCAACAGGGAGTAAGGCAGTCACTCTTCTGCCAGTCCTACCATAATGGTGCCAGGTTTGAGGAAGGTGCTGAGCAAGGGGTCCCTAATCCTCTACAGGTAAACTTACCAGGTGGCAGGCAAGGGTCTTTTTTCTTTATTTTTTGCATTTTTACTTGGCATGCAGCTAAGGGCAGTAACCAGCCAACATCTCCCCCTCCTCCAGATACTAACAAAAGGGAAAACAGGTATAAGCAACCAGTTCCAAAGGAGTCCATGGGAACTGGATCATTTGCCAAACCATGCTGGTTGCTGATCCTGACTTCATTTCCTCCCCACTCAACTGAAACAAACCGTTTGAGAAAGCCAGCCAGATAGAGTGTTGGGCTTGGACTAAGAAGATCTGGCTTCAGATTTCTCTTTAACCACCACCCTCATTATCATTTGGGTTCCTTTACACCATAAAGTTGACTTGAGAGGATAGGGCAAGATACAAATGCCTCATACTTAATTCTTGCAGGGGAGTGGGAAGAAATGTCCTAGATTGTTCCTGTTCAGATTGGAGAAGGCATTGAGTCCTGATGCTGTCGTTCCTAGTATGTGCAGCAGCTGTGAACGTGAGGAGCTCTCCTTTAAGAAAGAGATGCCCATAATTTTTGATGTTAGTGGCCGCTTGCCACATTCACGTCAAGCGGCCACATGAAAGGCGCTGTCGCCAACATTGGAATCAATACGGAATGCCTGGTTACACAGCAAGGCATGAGAGCTGAGCTTGGGAAACTTGCTTTTTGCACTACAGCTCCCAGAGTCCCTCAGCCGTCACAGCCCTAAGTAGTCATTGGCTATACTGACTGAGGATTCTGGGAGTTGTACTCCAAAAGGTAAGATTTCCAAGCTTTGTGTGAGAGTTTGAGAAGCGTGAAACTACATATTATGGAAGATGTCACAGCTTCTGGCATATGGCTTCCTCACTATCATCACATACATTTCCCTGTTCCAGTTTAGTAAAAATATTGATGGGATATTATATCGGTTCAGAGTTCTCCTGCTCCCTGCATGTAGACAGGTAATGAATTGGCCTGGAATGGGGAAATGTTGGTAGTGATGTACAGTTAAGGCTAGTATCTTGTTGGTGACAGAAGTCCAACTTAAGCAAGTATATGTGCTGTTACATAGAGCCAGCATAGCGTCGTCGTTTGAACGTCGGACTATAACTCTGGAGACCAGGGTCCGATTCCTGGCCCAGCCATGAAACCCACTGGTTGACCTTAGGCAAGTCACATGCTCTCAGCCTCAGGGGAAATCAATAGCAAACCTCCTCTGAACAAATCATGCCAAGAAAACCCCAGGATAGGGTCACCTTAGGGTTGCCGTAAGTTGGAAATGACTTGAAGACACACCACATCAACAACTATGTGTGTTGTTATGGCCAGGGATGGGAGTGGAATTTAGCGCTGCCGTATGCATTGCCTCCCTTTCCTCTTCTGTATTGGTAACAAGAGGATAATGGAGATGGCCAAGCAGGCATCCCCCTAAATGGCCCAGGGGTCCTCATGGATCTAGGAGGAGGATGTCGTCTTGCTTAAACTGGTTGCTGTAGCACTGCCAGCCATTGCCCGGCTGCCCCCTTGCCCCTTGAATAGCCATGAGAACCAGTAACCATCCACATTGCGGAAATAATCCACTTCGAGACTGCTTTAACTGCCATGGCTCCATGCTGTGGAATTCTGGGATTGGTAGTTGGCTGTAGCTCCAGAGTGGACCAGAATTCCATAGCATGGAGCCATGGCAGTTAAAGCGGTCTCGAACTGGATTATTTCTGCAGTGTGGATGCAGCCTTAGTTATTCTTAAGGGAGGTGTTAACTCTTGATAGGAAAAACGCCTCACAGCTGAATTTTTCCCCAGTTCAGACTTCACCATACTTCAAATGTGCTGAGAGGTATGTTTATTCTGAATGCACTGAATGCATTCCTAACCTTGAACCAGTGTAGTGCTCTACAGATGTGATCAGTCTTAGAAGGGAAATTTCTAAGAAAATAGAAAGCCTGTTTTATATTAGCTTCAGTCCAGATTTAAAATTAGTTAATTCCTAATTTAAAGGATTGATTTTGGGTAGCGGTAGATGGAGAGCCAGTGGAGTGGAGTGGTTTGAATGTTGGAGTATGACTCTGGAGACCAGGGTTCAAATCCCTGCTCAGACATGGAAACCTAGTGGGTGACCTTGTCACATTCTCTCAGCCCAGAGGAAGGCAAAGGCAACCCCCCCCCCCCCCCCCCCCCCCCCCCCCCCCCCCCCCCCCGCGAACAAATCTTGCCAAGAAAATCCCATGAAAATCCCTTTGGGTTGCCGTTATGTCAGAAACGACTTCAAGACAACAAGAAATGATAGATCAACTGACTAAATTAAGATTTGCTAATGGGATGTTATTTGAGGGAGGAAAATATTTATTTTTTAACTAAAGATGTAAATACATATACTAGATCGGAGGGCTTTTTTGTTCGTGAAACTTTCTGGCTGCATAAACCAAGATGTAATGGAGTAGACCTTATATCATTACACGGGGATATCATGGACCTTTTACGTCCTCCGACAATTCACTCTCCAGTTTTAAGTTTGGAAAATGGACTACTGTGCTTTGCAGTGTCTGTGGGTAAATTTTATGTCAGTACCAAACTGAATGCACTATTAAAAATTGTATATGTTAAAAGCTCATTGTGCAATACTAAATTGACACACTGTACACTTTGATTAGGCAGTATTTATTGATGAGATATTTTGAGTTTTGAATGGAATATGTTGTGTTGATACTTATATGAATGGCCTCACTGTAATAAATTGTATTTTCCATATTGAGGATCTTTGACTGTGTGGTTGTCTTCATGATGCCTCTACCCTTTCTTTCCTTTCTGGTATCAGGGACGCTCTTCCCTTGTACAATGCAATTCTATATATATATACTCAGAAGTATTTATTTATTTATAATATTTCTGTATTGCCCCCGAGCTCCCAAGGGCTCCCAAGGTGATGAACAAATAAAAACCAATTAAAACAATACAAAGATACAAATATTTTTTTTAAAAAACATACAAATGCTTAAAAATAAAACCTCCTAAAAGCAGCCTGATAAGAACTCTAGAATCCAGTTTTGAAATACTTAAAATGGCAATTTCAAACTGCACTTATTTTGGCTGCTACCTGAAGCTTGAAAGAGATGGGGCCAGACAAACTTCCTTGGCTTGGGAGTTCCATAGTTGAGGTGCTAATACACAAAAAGCCTTGTTACATGTGCAGCTTCACAAGGTGTTGAGATACACAACAAAACCTCCTCTGAAGATCTCAAATTCCTGGCAGGCTCATATGGGAGGAGGCAGTCTTTCAGATAGCCTGGCTGCAAGTTGTTTAGGACTTTGTAGTCAATGAAGAAGAAGAAGAGAATGGGAAGGGCAGCTATGAAAGAAGTAGAAAAGCTACATACATCTGAGCACAAAAGTCAAAATCACCCAGCCATAATATTCCCCATCACTATGTATGGATGTGAGAGCTGGACAGTAATAATAATAATAATAATAATAATAATAATAATAATAATAATAATAATAAATTTTTATTTATATCCCGCCCCTCTGCCAAGCAATCGGGGCGGCTTACAACATTAAAATCCAAACAGATTTACAGTAAAGGAAGGAAACAGAAGGAAAATCAACTCATTTGAGATGTAGTGCTGGAGAAGACTGCTGAGGATACCGTGGACAGCCAAAAAGACAAACAGATGGGTCGGGGAACAGATAAAGCCAGAGATGTCCTTAGAAGCCGAAATGATTTAAATTGAAGCTGACGTACTTTGGTCATATAATGAGAAGACATGGATTACAGGAAAAGACAATGCTAGGGAAGGTAGAGGGTAGAAGAAGGAAGGGAAAACCACATGCCAGATGGATGGATGGACTCAATCAGGGGAGACAAGGGCATGGGCTTGCAGGGACTAAGGAGAAAAGTGGAAAATAGGGGTTCTTGGAGGTGTCTCGTCTACAGGGTTGCCATGAGTCAAGGTTGACTCGAGGGCAGATTTTGACAAAGGTCGAAAGCAACACCTTGAATTGAGCTTGGAGGCAAAGTGAAAGTCAGGACCAGTGTTATATGGTCTCTAAAATACACACCTGACACCAATCTGTCTGTTGCAGCTTCCAAATACTTTTCAAGGGCAGCCCCGGGTAGAGCACATTACAGTAGTCTAATTAAGAAGTAATTAAGTCATGAAACACTACTGACTTCAGTGGGACTCTTGTTATTTGCTCTCGAGTTTGACTTATGGCAACCCTATGAATGAGAATATGATGCAGTGGCTCAATTGGTTAAGACACTGATTCTGTTGGTTGCAAGATCAGAAGGTTGGCAGTTCGAGGCCTGGATGCTGCATGATGGGGTGAGCTCCTGTCGCTAGTCCCAGCTTCTGCCAACCTAGCAGTTTGAAACCATGCAAATGCAAGTAGATCAATAGGTACCAATTTGGTGGGAAGGTAAACAGAGTTCTGTGCAACCATGCTGGCTACAGAGTAGTCTTTGACAATGCTGGCTCTTTGGCTTAGTAATGGAGATGAGCACCAACCCCTACGGTCGGACACGACTTGACAACCTTGTCAATGGGAAATATCTTTCCCTATATAGAATATATTCAAGCCATGGGTGTTTGAATTCATGGATAAAAAAATCTGTGGATACAGAGGACAAACTGTAATAATGTGCATTTTAAAATCAATCCTACTGTTTTGGTTAGCAAATTTACAACACTTTGGCTAAAAACTGAATTGTCAGTGCCTCTGAAAAAGTGGTCTGTGGGGTGAGTATATCGTGCAATTACTTCTGAAAGCTAAGATGGTAAAGAACAGTGAAAGAACAGATGGTAAAGAGCAGGGAAAGACTCTTCTGTGTGTGAGAACAGAGAATTCCTCTTCTAAGAAGTTTGGTGTGACGTGCCTCATCTAAAACAAACAAACAAACAAACATAATAATAATAATAATAATAATAATAATAATAATAAATTTTATTTATAGCCCGCCCCTCTGCATAGCAATCGAGGCGGATTACAACATTTAAAACAAGCCAAGGTAAAAACATTCCCTCCTCCCATGATCTGCCCTCCTGCCCCTTAAAACAAAATTAAACCAAGGAAGAATTAAAACATAAACAGTACAATTAAAACAATAGAATAAAAACAAAGGATCAGCTGTGCCAACCAGGTAAAGATAAAAACTCATCTCCTTACAGCAGCTGTTATTCTGGAACAAACATTTATTCCCCTTTAGGAAAGGGATGGGAAACACGTGGCCCTACAGATGTTTAGTCAAAGCTCCCCTTCCTTTGCTATTGGCTATGCTGTCCTGGGCAGATGGCAGTGGCAGCCAGTCAACATCTGGAGAAGCACAGTTGGGTTGGATCCCAGGGAAGTTATGCACTTACGTTCCACTGACATCAAGGGTGAAACATCAGTCATGATTTAGGAGTAACTCATAGTGGAAACGTATGCATGTCTACACTGAAGTAACTCCCACTGAGTTCAGTGGGACTTGGGTGTGTATACCTTCAAGTTGCCTCTTGATGTATGGCAATCCCATGAATTTCATAGGGTTTTCATAGGAAAGGAATATTCAGAGGTAGTTTTGCCAGTTCCTTCCTCTGAAATATTGCCTGCAGCACCTGGTATTCCTTGGTGGTCTCCCATCCAAGTGCTAACTAGGGCTGATCCTGATTAGCTTCCAAGATCAGAGAGGATCTGGTGCTTTTAGGGTATTTAGGCCCTTCGGGGGAATTACTCTCTTATAAATAGATTTAAGATAGCACCCTTAGTTTGGATCCAATCCATTGTTTTTGCTGTTACAGCTGCTAATACCAGTAAATTAAATATTAAATTGATTTATTTAATCAATATTTTATTTTATTTTATTTTATTTTGAGTCTCTTACCAATTATTATTTTTTTGGCTCATTGATTATCTGGTTTGCATAAATGCTGCTTCTCAACCCTACCACAGAGGATACTATACTGTATAAAGAACACCAGCATTTTCTCTTGGCTAAGAGTGGAAACACAAATGCCTGCTTTCCTTAAAATAGGGGTGAGGAAGTTTGACTTTCCAGATGTTTTGGACATCAACATCCAGATGCCTCAGTCAGCTTGACTTATGGTAAAGACTAGTCCAAAACATCTGGTAGGCCAAAAGTTCTTGATCCTTAGGGGAAAGCAGCTTTGTACAAGGAATTTGGGTGGGGACTTTAAGGCTACATTGACCACCTTTCTACTCCAAGTGCCTCCTGCCAGCCTCTGTGCATTTCCAGACAGTAGAACAACCCTCAATAACATAACCATGTTCTAGAGACACATTGTAAAGGTCTGCACAGGTTGTGATACCTTCCCTGCACCCCCCATGACCATTTACTGGCTGTTAGGGAGGCAGAGAAGACAGAGGGCTGGTAGGCTATGTTCCTATTAGCTAGACACACAGCAATGCCATCATCTTATGGTAGCCCCAGAGGTCCCCTGAGAGATCTTGGAGGATGCCGGTTGCCATTCTTTCCATCATCCCTCCATCAGACACTAAATGGCTGGTATTAGGGAAGGGGCTGCTGTTACCCAAAATGCCAGGGTCCCCAGAGGGCACCCACAATCAATATTTAATAGGGGGATTTTATTACCTCAATCGCAGCAGCGGAGAGGGCTTGGGCAACTCAGAGGAGGGTTCAAGCCTGTGTATATCGGTTCTGAGAAAGAGAACTCCAGAGTTCAATTCCAAAATAGTTTTATTCGTAAAAGGGAATCTCCATTCACACAAAGACCCACTTACACACACTCCAAAGAACTGACAATATAAAAGGTGGTACTAGATAGAGATTTTAGGGATTGCAGAGGGCTATACTGTACTGGTTCCAGGAGCAGCGGTTCCATTTGATGGACACTGTGAAGTCAAATGTCTCAGCAGCTGCCAGCAATGCTGAGGAGTCAAGCAAGATGCTGACAGAGTGTCTATCTGAATCTTAGGTGAGACCAAATTTGGGGGTGCCTTGGCTGGGGCAGATTTTGGGGTTAAAATAAAGTTTCCAGGAGAGAAGAATGAGAAGGGAACTGGTAAATGGCTGGACAATCAGTGCAAAAGTCTCTGGACAATGGAGTATCTTCTCCAGAGGGAAGTATGCTTGGGTTTCTAT